CGCGGAATCTACTGTAGCTCCGCGAAATGACAAAATCGTAAATAAATTAGTGTATTAATAAAAAAAAAAAACTCAAGATCCATTCCGCGGAGCTCTGCGGAGGTAGCTCCGAGGAATGGATCTTCAGTTTAAAAAAAAAAAATCCTCCAATGATTCTTTTATGTAATAATCTCTAATTAAAAGACCAATTTTTTTCACCTCACATTCATTTCAAACATTATCAAGAAAAATTAATACTATCATAATTTTTTCTTGAAAATAATTAGTTGGGGGAATGAATATAAACCCCGAAAAATCGATTTGAAAAAAAAAATCCTGAAGATCTATTCTTCGGAGCTACCTCCGCGGAATGGATCTTGAGTTTTTTTTTTTAATACACTAATTTATTTACGATTTTGCCATTCCGTGGAGCTACAGTAGATTCCGCGGAGCTACCTCCGCGCGGAATGCATGTCTATACCTGAAAATGTCCATAAAAATGTCTAAATTTTGAAAATACCTCATATTTTTTTGACTATTGACGGTATTTTCCCTAGATTTGATGGCCTACGACATAACATGGTGAGGCCACCAAAAGCTTTTGAGTGGCAACTTTTTGTCATGCAAACCAATTTATTTCCCTTTTGTTTATCACTTCACATGAAATTCTTTCTAATGTTTTTCAAAGTACCATGCACTGACCTTTTTTTTTTTTTTAAATATGGAAAAATAGGAAAGAGGGACATTCAAATATCTTTTCTCTTTAAAAGGTAAAATAAATTGATTCCTAGTATCTTTTATCTTTAAAAAGTAAACAAATAAACTAAAATTGACACGGTCGAAAGTTTGCCCAAATATACAAGATTATTTTTAACACTTGGAACCTTTTTAATTTGTTATATTTATAAAAACACACAAATTAAAACAGAAAAATATTTCTTTGGAACTCTTTGCATAAAAAATTCACACAACTCTTCAAAAAGGTAACTTGTTAAGGTTTTGAATCCCAGATAACGAATGTCCAGAAATAAACTCAACAATTCAAATGGTTACTCGCTAATACCATGCTCAATGAAACGTCCAATGGCTGCGTGAGATGATCCACCCTCGGCGACTGCTATCCTGCTCTTCTCTTTCATCTCTTTCACCTTCTTCCTCATCTCACCATCACTCATCAATTTCCTTATCCCACCCTCAATCTCCTCCGCCGTCACAATCATCTCCGTTTCATCTGGTCCCTTATTGCGCCTGTAATCAATCCTGATCTCCGCCGCTAATCCCAGCTCCACCACCAACTGAAAAGCATTGAGCTGTTGTTCGGCGTAGAGTGGCCAAGCAGCTACCGGAACCCCACACCATACGCTCTCCAATGTCGAGTTCCACCCACAGTGTGAAACGAACCCTCCCACTGAAGGATGCGACAACACCGCCGTCTGTGGTGCCCATCCGATCACCTTCCCTACACTCGAAGTCCGATCAAGGAAACCCTCAGGGAGGACCTCCTCTGGGTTTTCGTAATCCTTTGGATACTCTATCTTTCCCTTCGGTGGTGGACGGCGGAGAGACCATAGAAACCTCTGTCCACTCCGTTCAAGGGCAACCGCGATCTCCTCGACTTGTTTCTCAATGAAGCTTCCCATACTTCCGAAGCACAGGAACACCACTGAACTCTCTGACTGGTCGTTTAGCCACGTCATAATCTCATCGGTTTTACCATCGTTTGTCGCGTTCTTGAGGTTCAGTATAGGCCCCACCGGAAAAACAGGTGGGATATCGGCGTTGCTGCTTAAAAGATAGTCAACTCCATGGCTCTCGAGCTCTTGAAACGTATTTACCAATATGCCCTTTGACTCACGAAACGTTTTCGCGAGGTCAAGAAACATTTTGGACCCACCTTCCTTATCTAACAGTACATCCAGTAACACTTTCGCCGGAACTGAGTTGACGAAAGTCGGGATGGACAACTCGGATTCCGATCCTTTTAACTCGGTGACGTCATGCTCCTCCTCGTCGCGCTTGGCCTGGAGGGTTAACTGTAAGCCAAGCATGGAAGCACCAGATGTGTAGTAGATGTAAGTTGGAGCTTGAAACTCGTTTGCAACTTCTGTCATGGGTGCACAGAACATGTCGAGAACGAGTCCAGCAAGACGAACCGAGTTGGACTCAATTATGCTGCAGATGATGTTTCGAACATGAGGTTTGTGGTGTTCGATAAAGGCTGAGAGGAAGGTCTTGGGATTGATGAGAGCCATGGTGGACTCATCGCATGGGATGTCGATATAGCGTAAACGGGGAATGGGTGTCGGAGATTCAGTGTCGTGTTTTGCTCCGAGGGATATCTTCATGACTATGATGGTGATGGAAAGCCGTTGATCACGTTCGAGGAGGATTTTGGCGAGCTCCACCGTCGGCGGGAGGTGGCCGGCTCCCGGAGATGGGATGAAAACAAGCTCTGAGGTGGTCATCTTTTTTATCGGGATGTTGAATGTTGTGTGGTGGTGTGTTTTGATGGTGTATGTTGTCAGGTTTGTACTTTATACAAGTTAAGATCACGCCATGGGATTGGACAACAAGAAAATGGTGAGAAAGATGATGTCAGCGCTTTAGTCATTATTTCGAAAGGATGTAACCTCCACTCCAAGTGTACAATTAATTTCAAAAGAATTCTGAACTTTTAATTGAGATTTATATTTTTTCTTTAATGGATGTATCATTTTAGAAATATTTGTTTGGATTATTATAAATAAATATATAACGAGATATATGTTATTTGTGATAAATTGTATAACTTTATTTATTACTCTAGGGGTTGGTATAAGATAAAACATAATTAAAACTAGAGGTGAAAAAATGCTGATCCACCTTAATTTGTACTCCCTCCGTCTCAATATTATTGTCCACAAACAAAAAACACATATATTAAGAAAACTATTAATTATCACTAACTTTATTTAATAAAATAACAGTTTTGTCTTTATTTTGTATTTAATATTCCATTAAATGCTTAGTTGGTTAAGTAATAATGAAAGAGTATTTTGTTAAAATGTTATTTATTTTTAGAAGTGGACTATTATTTTCGGACAAACCAAAAAGAAAAGATGGACTATAATTTTAGGACAGAGAATATAAACTTAAACATAATATTAATTAATACTTTTCAAAACAAACAAACAAACTAATTGACTAATGTCAATTAGTAACCTAACATACTTGAACCGTCTATTTTAAATTTTATGATGTTTGCAAAAATGTAAACGTGTACATACACATGATTCATTTATTTGAATAAAATTTAATACTTTTATGCTTTTTAATATTTATTTGAATAAAATTACCTCCGTTGGTTTACGTGGAATTCATTATATTTATTTAAACCATTATATGCTTGGTCAATATAATTTAATTTTTTTTGCATGATTTAGTCATATTAAATGACAGTTATTTATTTTATTTTATATTTCTTTTAACTAATTTTAATATAAAAAATAAATAAATAACTCCAACACCCCCATCCCGCTACTCGCCATCCACCGCTAGTCATCTTTCAAATCAATGTTGTCGCATCCATCACACCAATTAAAACCACTTTCATACTGTCAACGTACTTTATAAAAAAATGTCATTTATGCAAGTTTATCTAGTCTGGCATCATCATCTGCTTCACATATCTATCTGCCACCACCACCCTCCTCTGTTGCCAGAAAAACAGATATGTTCATCATTTGAATATGAAAATCGAGCTTTAAAGACGTGATGATTGCCCTTGTCGCTAGAACCTAAACCCTAATTGTGACTGTTTACCAAAAACCTAATATGTAGGTGTCGTAGTGGCGATGGAGATCTTAGCATTTGTTCTCTAAGATAAAGAGGGTAGGCGGCAGCGTGCGGATATATGGGCTTTATCGGTGGTTCATGGATATGAAAGCGATGTTAGTTTTATACGATGGACAATATAGAGATGACGACGACATTGTTAATGTTGATGCTAGTGATGCCTTGGTGGTGGCTGAAAAGAGGTCAGTGGCAACAGATGGCTGCCACTAAAGCGGTAATCTTCAGTTAGAAAGAATTAATACATGAGTTTTTTTAAAAAAAAAATTAATATATTTTGTTAAGCTTTACATGTTTAATAATTTACAAAACCAAATTTGGAAAGAAATCAATATTAGCTGTGAATGAACCAATTTTTGTAAGGTTTCTAGAAATTGTCGTGAATTCAAAAGGGGTTGGTCGAAAATTATGTTTTTCAATTAGGAAGATTGATTTGAATTTAAATTGAATTTAATACACTAGTTTGACAAATTATGTGAAAATTTATGGAGACATTTAAGTTTTCTTATTTTATTTATTATATTTTTAGATTAGATTTTTTAATAATTTAATAACAAAACCAAAAAAACCATAATTTGCCAAATGGATTTAAATAAAATTGAAAAAAAAAATTGTCATATGGCCTATTGAATTAGGTGATAACATGTAGCAAAAAAAACTTTAATTTGTTATCCTATTTATTAGATAGGATAACGTTACAACTTGAAATGGTCTTTATGTTCATCACTACAATTTTAAAATATGTATATAAAAACATGGACTTTGTATTTACCGATACGACATAAAATATGTGCATAAAAGGGTCGTTCTATTTCTTGGGGAGAAAGTTGTATTTACTTTGGCAACTCAAATCAATTCGGACTTGAATTGGGTATATTAATTTTTAATGAAAGAATATTCCGAATAAACGAACCTATCGATCAACCGAATGATTAAATATGTATTTTTTTTTGTCTTCATGTTATACATGATAATGACCTCCGAGGTTTTCATCCTTGGTTTAGTGGCAACTAAATTTCTATTTTTGAATTATACCCAATTTATTAACTAATACTCATAATCTCAATCAACTATACTATTTCTTCCCATTAAATCTACGTAATAATCTACTCCATGAACGTAACAATGAGTTTATTTTTTATTTTATTTTATTTTTTTTTTTTTGGGGGGGGGGGGGGGGGGGGGGGGGGTTATGATAGGCAAGAGTATGCTAGAGTCTTCTCCTCGGTCAGTTCTTGTGCTGTGAGAATCAACTTCTTCTTTGAGAACTCATCAATCGAAAGACCTGAAACATGAACCAATCCAATTTTAAAAACTCTTAAACAATTTTAGAAATTATTTTTTATATAAGAATTCTATTTTAAAGACATTGAAATTTACCTTGCATCTCGTTACTAACTCTATAATTTGATAGATTTTTCAAAATATAATGTTGTAACAGGAAAAATAATTAAAAGTATGAATCTATAACGAACAAACAAAAATATATGAAAATACGTTTGCAAAATTCTATTTCGTGCATTTAACCCTTCTTCATATGACGAGTTTAATAGAAATTAGAGAAAACTACAAATTTGGTCCCTCTGGTTTGTCGTTTTTCTTGGATTAAGTCCATAAATGTTTCAACTTGCATCACAAGTCTACACGAGAATTCTCACCTTGAACTATTGTCCACTCACCATTGCGACAAGTAACTGGGAAAGAATAAATAATCCCCGTTGGAACATTGTAAGAGCCATCAGAGTACACACCCATTGAAACCCAAGATCCCTACAACCAAAACAGAATAAAAAAATCATAAGTAAAATAAAAAATAATTGTAGCATTTTACTTTGAAGAATTTACCTAACTATAGCAGTAAAAATTACTTCAATGGAAGTATATTACTATTTTTCTTGTCTTTAACTATTTTTACTTGTAATTGTTTGCAAGAGTATTTCACTTACCTCTGGAGTTCCACAGACCCAATCACGTATATGGTCACAAGCAGAACTTGCAGCTGACAATGCACTAGACAGCTTCCTAGCCTTTATAATTGCAGCACCACGTTGTTGTACTGTGGTAATGAACATTGAATTCAACCTAAAAAGACAAAAATGCCCTCATTACTATAAATAAGGGTAATTCTATATACACGAACAAAAGTCTAAATGCACGATAATTTGATTGATTATGTTTATTTAGTCAAATTTTATTTTTAAATTTAAACAAACTGTTTACATAATACGAATTTTCATTTGTCACCCTTCTATTTAACTATGTATTTCAAAATTCACCTTTTACTTGTTTAAAATATATTCCACACATCCATTATTTAAATATCATTAATATAATATTACAGGGGGAAATGACTTTTTTCTACGCATATTTTTTTTGTATGCAATTAACAATGAAGCTCTTATTGGGGATTTCTAAATGTATTTTGCAAGAATGAAATGATTGATTATATTTAATGTAGTCAAATTTATCCAAAATTTCAACAAAATATATTTTTATTTAGGGGCAATTACTAATCTAGCCAAATTAAGGAAGTGATTATCAATTTTTAGCCAAAAATTAGTAAATGTCCGAATATAGCCCACGAAACCGTAGGTTTCTAAAATCGTCTACTGTTTCGCCATATCGTCTACTGTTTCGTGTTTTGTATAAAAAAAATTGTTTTTTTTCATTTGTAACATACAAAACCGTAGGTTTAGGGAAACCTACGGTTTCCTCTCGGTTAAGCTACGGTATCCCAAACCGTAGGTTACGGTTTTGGGGGAAAAATACGGTTTTTTTTTTAAATCTACTGTTTTTGGGGTTTCGTCTACTGTTTTGTGAAAAAACCTACAGTTTTAATTTTTTTTTAATTTTTTAATTTTTTTTATAAGATGTAGAATTATTTTAACAATTATTTTGTTAAAATTTTTTGAGAATTCAAAACATTAGACTTTAAAAAAAACGTATTTTTTTGTGATATAGAGTATTAAAAAGATTGTTTATAAGATGTAGAATTATTTTAACAATTATATTGATTATAAAATGTAGAGTTGTTTTTTGACAATTATTTTGTTAAAAAATATTTTTTGTAAAATACAAAAATTAGTTTTGCTAAACTTGACTATTTTTTTGTCAGAGTGGACTACTGTTTTGTAAAACTTGACTATTTTTTTGTCAGAGTGGACTATTGTTTTGTTAAACTTGACTATTTTTTTGTCAGAGTGGATTACTATTTTGAACCTACCCTATATATATTAAGTATTTCATATTTTTGAAATTATTTCGTATTTTGAAAACTGCACTTCTTTCTAGCTTCTTTATTCTCGAAATTAACATAATGAGTTGTAACGAATATTTCGTATTGCTCATTACGGATGGAAGATGGGAGTTTGTTAATTCTCAATTATCATATGTTTGGCCAGCCGAATACAATCCCAGAATGTTTTATTTTGGTGTTGAATTTTACGAAACCACCACGTACACCGAATTTGTTCATTTGGTGAAGTGCAAGATGGGTCTTCCCGAAGAATCAAAAGTCAGTCTGGCTTATCAACATCCAGAACAACTCTATTATTGTGGTATTCTTGATGAGCGTGATATTAGAAAGCTGATCAAGGTAATAAATACCGTTGGAGATAAATCTGTATCTGTCTATGTGGTGGTTGAAGAAGGCGTATCGCGTAACGAAGTGGATGATAGAGGAAAGGCATCTGCAGCTAATTTATCAAGTGGAAAAGGGAGCAACAACCCAACAGGTAATTTTAAAAGTCCAAGTAAAAGTCAATATCATAGTGTCGCTGAAAATGTAAATGTAGTGCCTGTAGTGCCAGAACCGATTATGTATGTTACATCGGAGAATTATAAGTATATCGGTGATAATGATGTTGGTACATATGTTAATGATGTTGGTGTAAATCATTACTTTGACTAAAAAAAGCACTAGACGTGGTGGATAAGGTTGGTAATGAATCTGGAAAACAAGAAGTTCTATTTTTTCATGATGGTGAACTAAAAGGATATGGCGAGTTTGCGGATTGTGACAAGTTGGATATATCCGTCCTAGAGAGTGATTCTAACGGAGAAGAATTTGATGATGAACCTAAACTTATTTATTCAGATAACATGTTTCATGGTATGCCCTCATTGCCTTCGTGTCCTGTAAACTATGATGTGAACATTCCATGTCAGAGGCTGGATATAAATGAAGAGATTAAGGTTCTAGACATTTTTTATGACAAAAAGTTGCTCAAGCTTGCAATTGGAAGACAATGCATGGAACAAGGTAAGCAGTATAAGACTACCAGATCGAACAAAGAGAGGTTCGAGGTATTTTGTTTGGTAGAAAATTGCTCTTGGATGGTTAGGGCAAGGGGAATCAAATCGACTACTGCTTTCCAAGTCACAAAAGTTGTTGACCAACACACTTGTTGTGCAACAAACTTGAAGTCTAATCATCGACACTTGTACACCGTAGGTTTAGTATGAAACCTACAGTTTTATATTTTTTTTTTGATTTTTTTCAAAAAAAATTTAACCACATATACAAAACCTACTCCTAATCATAAACATGGTAAAATTTTGATGAAAAGTAGACAAACCTGGTTGTTCTTCGGGTGCTCAATTGAGACAAAAAAGTAGCCAAACCAAAGAAAACAATAGGAAAAATGACCTAATCTGGAAAAAATTTCATTATATACTTTCGGCTAATGGGCCACGAAAAAGTAAACGGGCCCGTGAAACAGTAGCCTATTAGCACGAAACACTACTTTAAGGCGTAAAATAATAGTCAACAATGTTGACCGTAGTCAACCAAAAGTTGACTACGTTTTTAAGGGCTATTTTTGGCTAAGTATTATTTTTTTTGCTATTTTTTGATAAGTAATTAACAAAAATTGCTAGATTTGTATTTTCCCCTTTTATTTTTAGCTTTCTTTTTTATTTATATACATATTAAAAAAAAACGAAATGCCGATGGATTTCCCATGTTAGAAAAAAACACTAATTTAATAACGGTTTATGATGCTTCAATATTTGTATAATTTTAAACTTATGAAAGTGTTATTTTCTAATTAACACTAATTGAGTTTTTAAACGCCAATTGAGTTCTAATACGTTAATTGAGTTTGTAAATGTTAATTTTAAACACTACTTGAGTTTTTAAACACCAACTCTAAATGCTAATTTTTTAAAACACTAATTAATTTTAAATACTAATTGAGTTTTTAAAAACTAATTTTTAAATGTTGATTGAGTTTATAAATGAATTAGACTAATACTATAGGTTAAAAATTATGTATATATATTTTTAAATATTATCATACACATATGAGCATATTTCTAATAGAATAGATTAATATAGGGAATTTTTAAAACTCGAAAAAGTATAGGATGAAATATGAACATTGTGTATTAATAAAGGGATTAATGAAAAATTATATAATAACATTTCATATATAAAGCGGTTGTGACAGATTGTTAGTTTTCAAACTTCAGGCACAAATACCAAAACAATTACACGATTCGTTTCGTGCGAATAGGAGGACCCATAAATAACCCTAGAAAGCATGTCATGTCATGTCAGATCTGATCTAGTCATGTCCTTGCCTACTTCTTTTTTGCTTAGTGCAATCCTATCAAGTCAAGTCATGTCATGTCATGTCATGATTATTTCTACAAAGTACATATGGAGAGTTAGGAAAGGGTACGAAGGGCATTTTTTGTAAAATTTGTTTGAATACCATTCATCGTCTTTCACGAGCTCACGAACTGGCTTATCTCCGGCTTCTGTCTTTACAGTTGCGTGGTTAACATCGGGATACTGAGTTGAAGAGTGGTTTCCCCAAATGATAACATTTTTAACATTTGATACTTGAACATTTAGTCTCTCTGAGATTTGCCCTAAGGCTCGGTTGTGGTCCAACCTTGTTAAGCAAGTAATGTTTTTCTCAGGGATTGATGGTGCAAATTCCTTAAGGATCAGAGCATTCGTGTTTGCAGGATTTGCAACAACCAAAACCTTGATTTAACAAGAGAAAATTCGTTAGTATAAATATAAAACTTCTCTTTAGAAAAAGCTATGTTAAATAATCGAAATACACACGCCATGTTAACAAAAAAAATCAGTAAGGCCCTATTTTAAATTTTAAATTTATAGAGATTTGTCAGGATAGATAAATGATGTCTAAAAAATCGTGCTAAATGTAAAGGAACATGGTTTCAATTATTGAGTCCCATTAAGTCCACTAAGTAAAAAGTAATCAGCATCTAGAACTCATGCATACAATTTCAAAGAATAGTTTCGTTTCTTTAAAATTATAATTGAATGGAATCATAAAAATAAATAAGAAAAAGAAAAAGAAAAAGAAAGCAATTACCTTGCAGTTTTTAGCAGCATGCTTCTCAAGAGCTGAAGCTTGGGATTTGTAGATGGAGACATTCTTTGACATCACATCTTTTCTTTCCATTCCTTCTTTTCGTGGGAACCCGCCAACCATTACTGCAATATTGACACCTGTACATGCCTCAACAACATCCGTACTAGCAACTACTCCTGAAATGAGCATCGCAAATATCAGTTTAATCCTAAAAGATTTAAATTATTATTGTAATAATACAATCTATGCCCTTTTTATCATTTTATAACAGTTTACAAACAATCAACATGTTCAAAACTTTTATGAAAATTTTAAGTAGGAGAACCAGGATATTATCTAACTATGATTAATCAATTTCTGAACTAAATGCTAACAAAAGTAAAATCTTAAGAATAAGGCAAATAAACTGTAGACCTTTAAGAAGAGGAAATGCAGCATCCACCAGCTCCATTTTAACTCCATTCAATGCCTCTGCTGCAGGTGGAATATCAAGCATGTGAAGGATCACTGGTTGATCAGGGCCCAACATTACTCCTCTAGCAATCATGGGGACAAGTGCATATCCAATTTGTCCTGTGAATAAACAGAAGTTATAATAATCGGCATGCTGTTTTCAATCATCCTCTTAAACCACATAAAACCCCTAATTCTCCATTTACCATGGAATCAATGTTATATCAATTTACTTATAAGACCTAGAAAAAGCCCTAGTTCGTGATCGGAACACCCACGCACAAGTATAAACCTTAGGTTACGTCAACGATTTCAGTCCAAGTACACAGATCAAAACATATCGCTCAAACTCGTGTATGTTGTTGGATATTGCAACATTTGATCATTTATCAAACGAAAAATTGCATATACACATAATCAAGTTCCATATAGTCAAAAACTTATATTCAAATTACATACGATGATCTAAACGAAAAGCTATAGAATAACAGAAAAATGGATCGATGCAAAAAATAAAACAGCACCTGCGGCACCAGTAACAAGAACACGAAGTGGGTCTTTCGCCATTGCGGCAGAGGTGATCGAAAAAAAGAAGAGAAACGGATGCAGACGATGCTAGTAGAATGGGAAGTAGGAGTGTGCGAAACATGCAGTGATTGGTATTTATGGTCGGGTGAAACGAACTTTGCTGAGGACGCGTTCATGATCCAACAATGACACGTGTTTTGATTTTTGAATATATTTTAGGGATGTCATTTTGGAAGTTTAGGCCCTTTTAACAATGACTTAAATGGCTCCCATAGGCAATATAGCAAATCTCGCAAAGGGTTTTTGAATATATTTTAGGGATGTCAAACTCTAGAAGTCTACAAAGGTTCCGTATCAAACACGTCTCATGTCATTAAAGAATTTGTGATTTGGTTTAAAAAGTCTCTAATATTATTTTTTGATTTTATAGAAAGAAACTAGAATGTTACTTGTTATATTAATTATTTAATGGCATGTAATTTAAATTCTCTTTGATGGATACCACAAACATACTATCATCAAATTCAATTACCAAAAATGGCAAAGCTAAAAGAAATCTTACCCATTTGACCATTAATTAAAACCTAAATTAATTTTCAAGATTCACCATCATTAATATTCAATTCTGTTTTACACCAAAATCAAATTTCTTTGGGATCAACAATCTCTTTCCCCGTTCTCAATCTCACAGGAACGACTACATCTTTCAAGGGTTCAACCCTCTTAAGAGTTCCATTTTCCAACCACTCGTCAAGTCAATTTCAGCTCTTCAGCAACAAGAAAACGAAGCAATGTATTGTATAATATAATAATTAATCTAAACAAATTTTTAATATTTTGATATTAGAAGACTTACCATTAGATGTTTGCAAGAATTTAGAAGACATTTGTTCAAAACTATCAGGGAAAGATATCATAGTATCTTATAATTCTTTATAATATTGTTGTATCCCTTCAATATAGAATCTGAATTTGTAAATCATATATATATATATATATATATATATATATATATATATATATATATATACACGTATTCTCATATCAATATATATTCACCTCAAGGGTATTTGATACAAACCTTATATGGTATCAGGGCATACGTTACTTGGCTTGAAGAAGATCATGTATATATATTATCATATCAATATACGTTCACCTCAAGGGTATTTGATACAAATCTTATATGGTATCAAAATACGTTATATGATCTGCACCCCCTTCAACCAGAGATTTTTTGGCATCGCCACTCCAAACTCTGCATACGTTACTTGGTTTGAAGAAGATCAGCATGCTTTCCTTATCATCCAGTCCTCTTTGACTGAAACTGCCATGGCCGAGACCCTAGGTCTCACCACGGCTCTTGAGTTCTAGCGTAATCTTGAACGTGTCTATCGTCAAGATTCTCAAGAACGCATGCAAATCCTCAAAGATTCCATTCATCAGCTTAAAAGGGGTACCTCATCTGTCTCTAAATTTAGCCTAACGTTTTGATATCTCTTTGTGATCAACTATCCGCAATTGGACATCCTCTTCATGAATCAGACAAGAATAATTGGTTTTTATTTGGTCTCGGTTCCTCTTTTGAAACCTTTTCCACCACGCGTCGGGCTCTTAAACCAAAGCCCTCGTTTCTTGATCTTGTTTCCCAAGCAGAAGGGCATGAACTTTTTCTTGATGTCATTCACGACTCAACTCCACCGTCGGCTGCCTTCACTGCCACTCGACAACATTCCTCACCTGGATCTTCCTTACGAGGAGGATCTTCTAATCGAGGATGTGGTCACAACTCCTTCTCCAGTGGACGTGGTCGTGGAAGACGACCACCACACTGCCAATTATGTCGAACCAACAGTGATTATACAAGTTCTTGTCTTGATTTGGCTTCCTTTGCCCGTCAAATTCACAACCCCAATGTGAATCTCGCTCAAGCTTTCCACAACCAATGTCACGTGACAACTAATACTCTTGATTGGTATGTGGATATCGGCGCTAATGCTCACATGACGCCATCCACTTCACATCTTGATTCTGCTTCAACTTATACAGGCAGTGATCGAGTCGCTTTTGGTAATGGTTATATTTCTCCTATTCTCATATTGGTACATTGGCTTTATCAAAAGATCTTAAGTTATCATATGTTCTTGTTATCCTAAACATCACCAAAAATCTACTTTCCATTAGCAAGCTATGGACTCTCCGGTGGATGTTTTATTCTCTAATCCTTTTTTTTGCCATTCAGAACCGTGTCATAAAGGAAATTCTAGCAAAAGGAAAATGTGAGAATGGGCTATACATTCTCGGCCATGGTAACAAAGTCTTCCTTGCTTATTTAAGATCTTCCCAGCTTCGTGCTTCATATGAACTTTGGCATTATAGATTAGGCCATGTTGCTTTTGATATTATTTCACTTTTAAATAAGTTAGGGCATTTATCTGTTTCTTCTTTGTTACCAAAACCTAGGATTTGTTCATCTTGTCAACTTTCTAAGATCAAGTGCTTACCTTTTGATATTAATTCTCAAAGATCTTTACATGTGCTTGATTTGGTTCATTGTGACTTATGGGGACCGACATCTGTCTCATCAACAGATGGATATGATTATTATTGCATTTTTATTGATGATTTTTCTTGGTTCTTATGGTTTTATCCATTAAAATGCAAATCAGATTTTTTTTGTTGTCTTTGAAGCTATTATCACTTTTGTTCAAACGTAGTTCTCATGTAAGATGAAAACATTCCAAAGTGATGGTGGCACCGAGTTTATCAACAACCGAGTATGTACCTTACTTATGATAAATGTCACTCATCATCAAATATCGTGCCCACATACTCCACAACAAAATGATCTAGCAAAGCGCAAACACCTTCATGTCACGTAAACGGGTCTCGCTGTGCTTTTTAATGCTAGTGCTCCTGCCAAACTCTGGGTTGATTCTTTCAGTACGGTTGTTTTTCTCATCAACTGGATTCCTTCCCAATTGCTTGGTAATAATTCTCCTTATCAACTGTTGTTCCATAAAGTACCCGATTATGCTTCATTACACCCTTTTGGTTGTCGGGTATTCCCATATCTCCGAGATTATGCTCCCAAAAAACTTGCACCACATAGTGCTTCTTGCATTTTTATTGGGTATGCCTCGCAATACAAAGGTTATAGGTGTTTATAAAATATACCAAGCTATCCAGATGTTGATGACCTGATTCGTCACTTCTCACAAAGGGGGAGAATGTAGATGTCGAATATTGTTGTGAGGTGTCGAAGGTCATGGATAGTTTCGACAGTTTGTTATTTTATTATAAGGGCACTTTATGTATCGAAGTTTTCAATGTTCAGTCCCTTGTATTTTTTGTATGCTTTCATGATCTCTATGAAGATGGGATGTGTACTAGAGATAGATAAGAACTTTCGTCATTTTGTCTAATACTCTCTGTACTTACTGAAAGTATAATTGAGCCAAACAGACTTTATTTAGATCTCGTGTTCATAATTGAGCCAAACAGACTTTATTCATACTCGATTTCATTACAACTACAAAACCAATGATGGACCTTTCCAAGTTGTTTATATCAAAATCATGGTGAACTGATTACCTGAACTTGTCAGCTAGTTGAGGATAACATCCATAATCAACTTCTGACGAAATAGAAATCCATATTTCTCCACTTTGCCAGTGTTCATATACTGACACATGATCTTTCCTATAGCTTTAGATGTATTGGTTGGAGGAAACTTAGAAGAGATTCACTCAGGGCACATTATTTCCTTTCATACATGAGAACTATTTAAACTCCAGTCAAGATCGAATGGCCCAATCAACTTCTCAATTTAGAGGTTTGTGTAGTAGTGAAAATTTATAATGGAGAAGTTTGTAGACATCATTAAATTAAAGTTCCATTTTAGTTAGTTTGATATATTCCTTAAAGAATAATTACCCAATTCAAAATTAATTAGTTAAGGCTAGGATCCATATTTTTCTTCATGATGTGAAGAGGGTTTTTCTAATCACACGAAAGAGTTATTTAGGTAGGAAATATTATTTGCTAGTTTCAGTCTCTATAAAACTTCTAGATCCGTCTAGATTTATTGACTTATGTCGATAGTAATGGATTATTAGCATAACATCATTCCTATGGTGTTCATGCAACCCTAATTGCTTTGATCTAGGTTTTTCTAGTTTGAACATACAACATTGAATACCAAAGCAATAAACCCTAGTTCTAGCATACTATAATCGAAATTGACATATGATTAGGGTTTAGATATTACCTTGATTGTTATGTAGCTATAACAATCTCAATACTTCTTGATCTTCACTTCTGAAAGCTTAGTGCCCAAAGTGTTGCACCTCTAATGGAGTCACAAACACCATTAGCAACAAGGATGAACAAGAGAGAGAGGAGAGGCACCAAAAATGTCCAAGATACTCTTAGGAATGCTTTGCCACGTTTTTGGGAGCCTTAGGGGTCCTTATATAGTTGGGGCTACTAGGGTTTTCAACTTGGAAACCCTAATCCAGTTGCTTAGTCCTTAAGCAGCCCAAAGATCCTTCCAGAAGGCCCCTTGGATGATTTCTATATGTACTCCCATATAGAATTCGTCCATTGCTTCCTTATGGATCTTAAGCCGAACTCTGTAACTATCTTATAATTACAGTATCAGTCCCCTTAATTTAATTAATCTCTTTTGACCACAAAATTAATTCTAAATTAATTATTGATCAATATTAATTAAACAATATGATTTCTCTTTTAATATATTATTCACATAATATATTAATAAATCATAATTAATGCTCTTTCTTCATTATTCATCCTATCAGTTGTTATGGTGAAGGCAACCCAAAAGGACCATGCTCATAATCGGGTCAAGTACATACCAAAATAGTTATGGGCTTAGACACCTAATCTAATAGTCTCCCACTTGGATAAGTCTAATAACTATTTTGCAAGTACGACTTCAGAACCCGATCAGCAATCGTAGCTTTCAAAAGTCGTTGTCAACTCTGATCTTATCAATAACGCGTCCTTTAGATAAG